GTCTAATATCCTTTTTTTCAGATATGATAATCATGAGGTCTTGTTAGACATCATTATATTTTTTGGACATTTATTTAGTTTAGTAGACTTGTATGTAACATTATTGTATCGTATTAGTCTAAAAAATGTGAACAAAAATGAAAAAAAAAAAAAACTATGTTTTAGTTTATTGTGATTTCACTTTGATTTAGTTGATATTTAAATTTATAGTAGATATATTTAGCCCCTGTTTGAGTCATATTTTTCATATCATTATAATGAGAAAATTGATCGTTGAAGAGAAAGTTGGGTCCCACACATGAAATAGCAAGTCAACAAAGGCGGCTAAATTTGTGGGATAAAAGGTCTAAACTTTCATTTTTTTGTTCGAAAAATTTGATTCAAACAGAGGTTTAGTTTGTTTTAGATTTATTGCTAGTAAGATATAAATATGTATTGAATTCAATGAATTAATGACATAAAAGTAGACAAATAAAAAAATATATGGCGAAATCGACGGTTTAAAATGAATCAAACTGTTAGATTTAGGTTTGAGTTTTTTACAAACCGTTCAAAATGGTTTGGTTTAGGTTTAGGTTTTTCTCAAACCGGTTAAAATGATTTGGTTTGAAAATTTGTCAAAAATCGATAAAATCGGACCGCTTACACCCCTAGTTTTAATTGTTTTCCAATCAGGTCAACTTTGCGTTCTGTGAACATTGATAAACATTAAAATATTTTATCCAATATTGAAAATAGAAAATATTTAAGAATTTATGTAGAATAAAGAATCTATTTCACAACTATGAAACATAAACTACGATAAGTTTTATTATTATTATTATTATTATTATTATTATTATTATTATTATTATTGTGCATGTGTGTGTGTCAACATTGCTTTAAAACCAGGTCAACTTCTAGAAAATGTGATCTTCGGTATTCCAACTTTGTCTTTAAAAGGAAATTGCACCATCACTTTTTGTCTTAGCATTTTCCAAAATGTTACATTTTAATAATCTTTGGTAAAATTTTATTTTTCTACTTTTTCATATCTCAAACTATTTAAATCGCATGAGTGTCTCTAATTAATATTGATTTGATTAGACGAAAAAATTGTAAAAAATAGTGTACAAATGTCCCATCAAACCCACCTAACCAACACCCTCATCCCCCACTTTCTAAACCTATCCCAAAACAAAATTTAAACCTAATTCGAAAAATTTTTAAGGAAACCTTCTCGTTCGTCTCTCTCACATCGAAAATCTAAACGGTGCTACCTCTGTCGTTCAATTTTGTCTATTGCCTCCAAAATTTGCTATTGTCATTGAAGATTAAAAAAAAACTGAAAGGAAACTTTACTCGTTCATCTCTCTCAAATTGCACTTTAATGCTCACTCTTACTCCAATTCTTCTCTTGCTTTTGTTGGTTCTTCTTTTGATATTCATTAGAATTTTCCCTTTATCTATAAGGTGGGAATCAATCTTTTTGATGCACATATATAGGTAGGATGTAGTGGATTTGGGGCTAGTGGTATGGCCAATTTTGTGGTAATTTTGAAATTTTAGATTTATACTGGTGTTTGCGTTTTTCAATTTTAAGATTTGGGTATTTTCTAAATATACATATTTGTTATAGTCTGTATCAATTGGGCAAATCTCATGTTTTGAAATTTAGGGTTCTGAAAAATATGAACACCTTCTATGAACAGGAAAAGAATTGTCTTATATTATGGGATTTTTTTTTTTTTTTTTTATGTGGTGCAATTCTGCCACACAGGCCGATCACATCTAAAGATTATACATCTTTGCATATTAACGTTGGGCTGAGATGGTTGATATTAGGGGTAGAGCCCAATAGAGTCCAATGTGGGCACAGGCCTGCACCAGACTTTGGGCCCATTCCAATTCCTTTGTTTATTTATTTTTAGTTTTAGGCTTTTCGGTTGATTCAGCCTAATGCAATTGGAGTTTTTGTTTATTTATCTTTTTAGTTTGTGGAAATTAAACAAAATCATAGTTTAACTATTCATAATTCCTAAATCAGAGTGGAAGTTTAATATTTCAGTAATCAGATTTTTTTTCTTATATTAATTATTTTAAAATTATTTAATAGCTGTTTTCCCTAAATTCACGTGTTTTAAAATTTGGAAACTTTATAATCATTGAAACCTCCATTCACGTCCTTTATATAAACTCCACGTTCAGTCACCACCGCCCTTCATCCAAGCCATATTCTGCACCTCACCACTGTTCGTTCTCCAGCAAAATCCCGATGAATTTCATACATTTTCGTATTTACCTTTATTATATAGGGTCCTTCCAAAAACAAGGTGGTCACAGTTGAACCGTACCTGCAAAAATTTCAAGAATTGCGTGTTGAAGGAGAGAAAATTGGAATCCATGATTCAGAAAGAAGATGTAAAAAGAAGGTTGATGAAGTGCAGAAGCATTCATCATCTAAAAGACACAAATCCGAACGATCGGTCACAAAATCGCCCACGAAGAAGGTGTGTTTTCAATCTTTCAATTGTTCACTTATTTTGAGTATACCTATGAACATTTTAATCGATGAGTAATGTGTATAGATGAAATATTTTGAATTTGTGAGGTATATTGCATTGAATTTGTAGTGTGTATATGTAATCGAAATGCTGAAAATCTAGAAAGGGTTTTTACTATTGTTTTCAAATTGGTTGTTCATTTGTGACTTCTGGAACAGTATTGTGTCGTTTCGTAAGTGTGTTTGGTGTGCTGTCACAGGCACCCAAAAATAATAAAATTTACACTTCCAAAAAATGTATGTGGTGGTGGAAGTAAAGATCGTTCCCACGAAGAGTGATTAGTCTAATTTTATGCAATGTTAACAATAACGATTGATTTTATTTGTGATGAAATCAATTCTAACTAAAAGCAATGCAATTTAATAAATTGGATTAAATTAATAGAACAAGCATTGGTCTAAGTCAATATCCACCGTAGGAATTCTGAACTGATTATAGATCTATAACTAATTACCAATCCATATTTTTAGCATTCATCGTTGGAATTTATTTTTCCTATTTCTCCTTAGCTATAATTAATCGGAAAACTAGCGATCCAATCAATCCTTATTATCAAATAAAAAGCACTTAAGATTTAATCTAATAATAGCATGGGAAACTATAGAAATTGATTAAACTAAACAACACAATCACAAGCAGTCATGTTTAATCTAGTCAAATATTCTTCCTAGAATTTAATAACCTCTAAAATAGCGATTAATCAAATTTTAGTTATTTCATAATGTCAAAGATATCAAACAATTACGTATTTATTCTTCAAACAAGCAATAGATTGTGATACATGAATATAATAGGTCTCTTAGAATTCAAATATAACAACCATGAAATGATGCATAGAAGAGTACTCAATACATAAAATATGAATGAAAACAATGAAATTTATTTAGATGTCACAGTTCGAATAATTCATAGGCTTCAATATCCTTCGACCAAGAGATGAAATTTAGCAATACATCAATAATCCTTAAGTAAAAAGAGAGAAAATTCGATGGTGTTCGTTCTTCCCCTCCAAACAACACGTAGAATATAAGATTTTTAGGTCAAAAAGGAGATTCCCTTCGTTCGGGCATCTTTAGGTATATATATGATGTCAAAAATATTATTTCCATGTAAAATTTTATCAGAATAAAGAAATTGGCCCATCACAGAAATTTTGGCTCGTGCTCGCGCGCCATATATTTCATTGCGTGCACGCAACTTTGTTTTTTTTGCTCTCTGTATGCAAGAATGAGGTCTCGCGCGCTCGCCACTTTAAGCCCGTGCGCACGCAGTATAAAATAATTTCAACTGTTGCACTTTAATCCCTCAATTTCAATCTTCATTCATTTTAACTCTTCTTACTCCCTTAGCTTTCAATTCCATCTAATTGAATTCACACCTTCTCCAAGAATCGATATTGGGTCTGAATCAACTATTGCCACTTTGCAGTTTAGTCCCCAAACTTTGGATTCATTTCTTTTTAGCACATTTTTTGTTTCTTTTTTCCAAATCCATCAATTTGCATTGATTTCAATCTCTTTGACTTCTTTCTTCATCGAATTAACCTCTAGCAATCTTGAATTTTCATTCCGTCACTCGTCTCATCTAGGGATTATTCGTAACTTGATCCCTGAGCTTTTCACTTTCTTCTATTTAGATCATTTCTCGCTCTTTTCTTCCAAATTTCATATTTTCCATCCATTTGCAACCTAAATCAAAATATAAGGGTAATCAATACATTTAGGCGTTAATTAATCACAAACGCATAAGGTAACAAAATGAAAAACATGACATTTTACATTCCTATCAAATTCCCCCACACTTAGCTTTCGCTCGTCCTCGAGTACACTCAAATTTTATTTTTCCTAAAAATATCAAAATTGTAATGCAATCAACATAGAACAATCAAACTCTTTAAAACACATAACACGTCATGAACAAGCATGCTCAAACAACTCATAATCAACTAGCAAGCGCTTTCATATGAAGATGGAGTAAACCAAACATGTAAATCCTCACATAATATAAGCACTCAATTCTTATGTGTTTAATGGGTAAGTGTTTCGCTCAAGTTCATTCCAATGGACATGATCTACCATAAGCCAAAAACAAAAATAAAAGCAAAAAGATAAAGGAATGAACTATCCTTGGGTTGCCTCCCAAGCAGAACCTTTCTTTATTGTCGTTGGCTAGACTTATTGCGTTCTTCTTTATTATCGTTGTCACCTCCTCCACTTGGACACTTTCATAGAAAAGTTTAAGTCTATGGTCATTCACCTTAAACACTTTTGAAGTTGCCAAACTTTGGATTTCAACTGCACCATGAGGGAACATTAGTAACAACAAAGGGTTCAATCCAACATAAAAGCAATTTACCTGGGGACAAATGAAGTTTCGAATGGTACCAATTTTAAATTCCTTCCTGGAGATCATTTTCTCGTGGAAAGCCTCTGTCTTTTCCTTGTAAATTCTTGTACTCTAATGGGCATCATTGCGAATTTCTTCTAATTCTTGAAGTTGCAACTTTCCGTGCTCTCCATTCTCATCCATCTTCATGTTGAAACTTTTGATAGCCTAAAAACCCTTGTATTCTAGTTCAACTGGAAGAAGGCATGGTTTTCCGAACACTAACCTGTAAGGTGACATTCCAATATGTGTCTTGTATGCAGTCCTGTATGCCCATAAAGCTTCATCTAAGTACAGACTCTAATCTTTTCTAATTGGACAGACTGTCATCTTAATGATGGATTTGATTTCCCGATTTGACAGCTCTGCTTGTCCACTAGTTTGTGGATGATAGGTAGTGGACACCTTGTGGGTTACATGGTATTTTCGCAGCAAGGCTCCCACAGTTCGATTACAGAAATGAGTGCCTTGATCACTTATGAGAGCCCTTGGGATTCCAAACCTGGAGAATATGTTGGACTTAATAAAATTTGAAACTACTTTGGAATCATTAGTTCTGGTGGCCTTTGCTTTCACCCATTTCGAAACATAGTCAACAGCAAGTAAAATATAAGCATAACCAAAAGATGTAGGAAATGGTCCCATGAAATCGATGCCCCAAACATAAAAAATTTCACAAACGAGTATGGGTGTTTGTGGCATTATATTCCTTTGGAATATATTCCCTGTCTTTTGACATTGTTCGTAGGTCTTGCGAAATGAATAAGCATCTCGAAATAAAGAAGGCTAATAAAATCCACATTCTAATACCTTCCTTTCCGTCCTTTTTGATCCAAAGGAACCCCCCACATGCATAGGAATGACAAAAAATGAGAATGGACATAATTTCGTTTTCAGGGATGCACCTTCTTATCACTTGATATGCACAATGCTTCCATAAGTATGGGTCATCCCATACATAGTACTGAGCATCACTTTTGACTTTGTCCTGTTGAGCCCTCGACAATTCAGGAGGAAATTCATTTGTAACTAAATAATTTACCATATTTGCTTACCAAGGTAGTATCGTATTGGCAATGAGCAATTGCTTGTCGGGGAATGTTTCTTGCAACTGAAGTTCATCGTCTACATGAGCTAAACGGCTCAAATGATCTGCAACACTATTTTTTGTTCCTTTTTTGTATTTGATATCCATGTTGAATTCATTTAAGAGTAGTATTCATCATATTAACCTTGGTTTTGTCTCCTTCTTCATCATCAAATAGCGAAAAGTTGCATGATCAGAATAAATAATTACTTTTGTACCGAGCAAATAAGGGCGAAATTTCTCTAAAGCAAAACAACAGCCAAGAGTTCTTTTTTAGTTGTGGAGTAGTTTTGCTGAGCATCATTTAAAGTCCTGGAAGCGTAATAACCCAAGAAAAGCACTTAAAATTTAAATTAATAATAGCATGGAAAACTTGAGAAATCGATGAAACTAAACAACACAATCACGAGCGATCAAGTTTAATCTAGTCAAATATCCTCCATAGAATTTAATAAAAAGCAGCGATTAATCAAACTCTAATTGCTTAATGTCAAAGATATCAAACAATTACATATTTGTTCTTTAAACAAGCAATATATTGTGATACATGAATGTAATAGGCCTCTTAGAATTCAAATATAACAACCATGAAATTATGCATAGAAGAATACTCAATACATAAAATATGAATGAAAACAATGAAATTTATTTAAATCTCATAGTTCAAATAATTCCTAGGCTTCAATATCCTTCGACCAAGATATGGAGTTTAGCAATACATCAATAATCGTTAAGTAAAAAGAGAGCCATGGTGTCCGTTCTTCGCCTCCAAACAACACGTAGAATATAAGATTTTTAGGTCAAGAAGGAGATTCCTTTCGTTCTGACGTCTTTTAGGTATATATATGATGTCAAAAATATTGTTTCCATGTAAAATTTCATTAGAATAAGGAACTTGGCCCGTCATAGAAATTTCGGACAGTGTTCGCGCGACATATATTTCATTGCGCATGCCACGTTGTTGTTTTTCTCTCGGTATGCAAGAATGAGGTTTCGCGCGCACCACTTTAAGCTAGTGCGCACACGCAGTATAAAATAATTTCAATTGTTGCACTTTGATCCCTCAATTTCAATCTTCATTCATTTTAACTCTTTTTTGATGTCTTCTTACTCCCTTAGCTTTCAATTCCATCTAATTGAATTCACACATTCTCCAAGAATCGATATTGGGTCCGAATCAACTATTAGCACTTTGCATTTTATTCGCCAAACTTTGGATTCATTTCTTTTTAGCATATTTTTCGTCTCTTTCTTCCAAATCCATCAATTTGTATTGATTTCAACCTCTTTGACTTCTTTCTTCATCAAAATAACCTCTAACAATCTTGAATCTTCATTATGTTACTTGTCTCATCTAGGGATTATCTCCAACTTGGTCCCTGAGCTTTTCACATTCTTCCATTCAGATCATTTCTCGCTATTTTCTTCCAAATTCCATATTTTCCATCCATTTGTAACCTAAATCAAAAATCACAAAGGCATAAGGTAAAGGAATGAAAAATATGACATTTTACATTCCTATCAGTGTTGTTGACTTCTGATCTGTTGTAGGGGACTTGTGAATTATTTGTTGCTATTGTTTCTACCTGGTTCCCATCTGTGACCAACTGATGCGTTTATTGTGACCAATGTTTAGGCCTGGAGATATACTATTTCGAAGAAGAGTTGGTTTTCGGGTAAAATTACAATTACCCCCATGAAAAGCGTGCTGTCAAATTTCAAAAACAACCTAAATGAAGCCCAACATCGAATACTACAGAATACGTGTTTCTCCCACTTCCTGGAATGCAAGGAAATCTTTGTCCAATCTCAGCAGATACACTATTTTTTGTTGAGGCAGGTGCAACAACCTAGTGAAGGTGAGCTATGGTTTAACATAGCCGGAAAATTTGTAAGACTCTTGATTTCAGAGTTTTATTTGGTGACTGTGCTGAGATACGTTGGCGATGCTGATACAAATAGGATGAAAAAGACCCCAACACGATTGGAAAATGTGTACTTTCCAACGTTGAAAAATGTGACTCATGAAAATGGCAAGGATGCGTTTCTTAGATCGATTGACATTCTAGATAAGGATGTTTCCATGCTGGCTACATTGTATTTCATAACGTCATATCTATATCCGAGAGACTTCAAGAAGGCTGAGGATCACTTCTTGTTCGTACTAGTTGAAAATTTTAATGCGATGAATGTGTTTCCATGGGGTAAGTCGTTGTTTGACACGCTAGTAAGTTCAATGAGGGAGGGGTTGAGTAAGAGAGCAACCCATTATAGACTCAGAGGCTTGCTCATAACCTTTCAAGTGTGGATTTACAAAACAATTCTCAGTCTAGATGGATACACAGCTAGAAGGATATCCAAAGTATACCTTCGGATAATGAACTGGGTAGCTGATGATCACCCTTCGGCTGCTAAGCTCGAGGGGCTTGAATAGTTCTCCAATCCGGATGTAAGTGTCTAATATGTAGTAATAATTTTTTTGAAATATGCGGGGTTGCACATATTTTCATGTTGTAGATCATATTAATTCGGTCACATATTCATTTCGTCAAGTCACAGATCAAATTCACGAAGTCATAGATATTAAATATAAGTCACAAGCATTTTTACAATACCATTTGCATTGTTATATCACAATCCATGTCAACATAACTTTATGATGTGAAACATTATATCTGATTGTTCATATATTTTTGTTTTGCTGACCTTAAAGTTTTGTTGTGATTTGAATGGCAATTGGAATATGTGACTTGGAACCCTCAGAAGCAGAAATGGCTATGCCATACATGACAGATGTGCGGTATGAGAAATATGTCCAACCTGATCGGTCACGTGGAGAGAATAGAAAGGGTGGTAGCACAAATCAATCAGTTTATCGTGCTAGGACTAGTACAAAGCCAAGTGATTTGTGGATGAAACAATCTACTTTTATGCTTCTTATAACTGATGGAAAATTGGGACACCTTGATGTGCACATTGACAATGATAACTTTTGTTGATCTATCGCCCAAATGGAAGGGGACATCAATTGATAGAGATTCGCCAAGTGGGGAGCGTAAGTAAGCTAAATTGCATGTTTGCTCGTGATTTTTTTCATGTGCAAGTTTGTCCTTGATGTTTCAAATTTATGCAAATTAATCTGAGATTTTCGAATCTTACATTTTAGTACCTAAACTTTCTAGAAGGTTATAATTGTTTCATGAACTTTCATATTGGAACAAGTTAGCCCCTTTTGTTACGCTCTAAGAGTCACTTTGACTGCTCCTATTATTGTTAACGGCCATTGGTTCGAGTAACTACATCTCCAAGTTGAGGGAGGTATTCCTGGCGATTATGTTTTGGCACCCCTTGTTTGGAAGACAATCATATTACTTTTCCACCAAATTTAATTTAAGTCTCTTAGCACACCAGGATTCTTGTTATTAGGTTCTTTGTCTCCATCTTTGAGTGAAGGGTAGTCCCATGGATATTTAGAACACTAATTTTCCCATTCGTGGAATGTGTCCCTCAAGTCTTGATGATGGTCATGGTGGATAAGGATTTTCTTTTACGCCAACTTCTAGTTGATGGTTGGCTTAGTCAACATTCAACGTAAATGCAATTTTGAAGTACCATTTAAGTCTTGATAACTTTGATTTGCTTGTAGTCTTGAAAAGGACGATTTGTTATAATCAATTTAATTTTCAAACTAAATTTACTTTCTTTAACACCAAAGTGATTGAGGGAGAAACTTAAATATTGATTGTCACAAACGTGGTAGATTTGAAATATTGCACGAGCACATAGTAAACGGGTCAAAATTAAAATCAGCTAAGATGAGTACGGATCCACACAATTTTAATCAAAACCCACATAAGACCTAAGTTTTCATTGGAGACTCATTTTAGTATGTTGTGGGAGTGAAATAGGAATTTGGACAGCATAACCAAAATTTCGTAGGTGAGAAATATCATATTCATGAATAAATGCCAAAGGTGAATATAGATAATAGGCAGTTGATCTAATACGAATTAATGACACAGTATGTAATATTACATGACCCCAAATAGACTTATTGTCATAAGTAATGGTCTAGCAATAAGTTGTAAATGTTTAATAAACTACTCAAGAAATTGTTAAATGTGACACTAGTACACTTAGAGTGCATCTTGCTAGCAAGCCGATTCAACTCAACCATTACAAACATACTATCCAAAACAAACACTTTAGCTGCTTTTTAATGTACTACTGCAATCGTTGACCACAACTACCTTCCAAAATAAAAGCAGATGCCAACTCCAACACCGCCACGCACTAGGCACCATAGCACTACCACCACCCTGTTGCCCAGTTATGAGATCTAAGTTTATCACAGTCGCCACCTCACCACCACCACCGCATTTGGTTTCGTTTTTAAAATCAAGAATTGATCCTCTAGGAACCCTTGTAGAGTAAGTTGAAAGATGGATGTATGCACTTTGTTACAAAAAAAATTCGTAAAAATATTCAAATAATAATAAGAAGAAGAAAAAGAAGAATATTTTGATACAAATATTGATAATTGGATGTGATATTGATGGTACTCATATTTCAGCAATGATAGCTGTAAGTAGCTGTAGAAATCGTTCGCGGAATAATTTCGCATAATGTTTTAGCCAATTATAACTTTGATTTTGAATTTATATATGTGTTTAATGGGTGTATGGGTGTGAGGGATTGGCAATTGACTCAACAGTATTGAGTGATACTTTAGTAAGGAAAAGCGAAAAGTGCCAAAATGTATGATTTTGTAACGCCATTTATAATTTTATGGTTTTTATTTTTTAATTATAAATTTACATGTTAAAAGTTACTTTCTATAAATTTTTTGATAGATTGCAAATTCCTGAATCAACGTTAATTCTTAGCTCTTTTTGAGTTTTTCGCCATCTTCAAGATTTTACAGGTCAAGGTCGTAACTTTGAAAATGGATAGTAGTTTAATATTCATCTTGCTTTCTTGAGGAATGTAGTTGAGGGGATATTTTATATATTTAAATCACGGTTCACAATTTTCAAAATAAACTTCTCCATTTTCATAGCGTACACAGGCAAAGTTAGTTTTAGCTTATGCTGAATTACATAATTTTATTTCCAGAAAATGTCGTTCTAATGAATTTTCAGTTAAACGTGATTATGAAGCTTCATCATTTTCTTCAAGGGAAAGACTTACGACCTATTTTTTGAAAGTAGGGAACAACATAGAGAGAATACTACTACGTGGAGAAGTACCCCAGCACCTGACATATGGAGTGAGTTTGGGAATATTTGATAACATTGAACACTACTCAAATACTATTAATTCTTTGATATTTAAACTATTTGTTAATCCACATTTTTTTTAAATATTTCTATTAACAATAGCTCGTGTTTGGTAGGAATTAAAATATAGATTTTAATTTAAATCAAAGTTAACAATTAATCTTAACTACATATTTAATGGAATTCACAATTTTAATTTCAATCACATATTTTATCAATTTTTATCAAATATACTAAATATCCAATTTTTATCTCTATCAAATCGGGGCTTAATAATTTTTTTTAACCAAAAATGAATAAATTCATAAAAATCACTTTAAAAGTCCACAAATTTTACAAAAGTCATCCATTTTAAAAAGTCATCTGAAGTTCTAAATTGAATATACCTTTAATGTATTCATGAATTTTTCCTTATTAAATTTATGAGCCTGATTGATTAACATTTTGATCTATTTTATTTATCATAATAAGTAAGGAGCCTAGATACAACAATAAACGTTGTAAATTCGAATTTAAAGGTGTCAAGACAGTGGAACGTGTATTGAAATTTCATGACCAAGTCATCCTCTAATCGTTTGAAAAATTAGAAATGCATACGAACTTCATAAGAAAATTAGGTTCTGTCAAAGATAAAATTCTATTATAATTTGTAAAAGATTGTACTTCACCGTTAAATAATAGTAATTATCCTTTTTGTATATTCAAGAAGGAGAACTTTTAGTATTTTTTTTTCCTCTGATTTTCATTGTCCTCGTGCTATTCTTTACTCCCTCTCCACTAATCAAATACGTAATTTTATTGTCGACTTTGACACTTTAGGGCACAAAAACTTTCTTCGATGTATACCTCTTGATTTATAAAAAAAGGGGAATCTAAAAGGCTAAATGCTTTGGAATTCGGAAGCAGAATTACCTAGAAATTTACAATTTCTTTAATTTAATAAACAAGATCGTTTAGATATTCACATGTATATTATATCGATAATAAAGGATTCGAATTTTGACCTAAATTCAATGGTCGATTCTTGAATTAATTCTATCACGAACTTCTAGCTTTTAGGATTACGAACTTTCAGCTTTTTAATTGCAAGAACTTTGATGTTTCAAGCCTTTAAGTTTTTTATGGTATTCTCCAAATTCAAAACTATACCGGTGGGTGGATACTTTCATTTAGGCCCCGTTTTGAACCACATTCTTTAAAAAAAAATAAAAAATACATTCTTAAACAGCAATTTGATATTATTTCAACCACACATTATTCAATAAAATAATATTATACGCAAATCCAAAACATTTCCTTATTTTGTAACCACGCATTTTTCATCAATACACTATTCAAAAATACATTCTTATGAAAATAATGTTGCTCAAACAAGGGCTTAATTAAGGTCATGTTTGAGTTACATTTTTTAAAAAAAATAAATTCTTAAACAGTAATTTGACATCATTTCAATAACATATTTTTAAATAAAATAATATTAAATGTAAATCCAATTTTTTATTTTTATTTTTTAACCATATATTCTACATCAATATACTATTCCAAAATACATTATTTCAAACTAACGTGGTTCAAACGCACACTAGATCAATTTCTTTAAAAAGATTATTTTAACTCGACAAAACGCTTTAAAAAATTATTAAAACGTGTTCAAAAATAACTTCTTAATTTTAAAAATAATTTTTAACTTTTCAAAAGCTAAAACTAACAAGACATAAATTACCCTACCAAAATCGTGTCATTATTATGAAAAAACAAATTTGCCATTTTGACATATAAATATAACTTTAAGTCTTTCTTCATTTAATTTATACTTGATTGGCGTTCACCCCCACCTATTGACTTTTATTCCCATCCTTTATCTTATCCATTTTTAGCTAACTTCTCGTCTATAAAAACAAAGCCAACCCCCAATAAACCATACCATTATTTTATAACGCTTTAAAGCTTTCATCGTGTTCGAGCAATCTTTTTTCAGTGTGGCTTATGTTCCATGGAAATTTGCATTTATCCTAATCAATAAAATACGTGTCATTATCCTAATTAAACAATAATTTACGTTTCCTCTCTACTTTTTGGGATATGGATCAGCTTTTAAGTAAATTTAATACTGAATAGCTGCAACGCATTAATCAAAATGTAATTGCAGACATGT